TTTGTAACCCCCTCCCTATCTCTGTAACCCCCTCCAGCCCCTACACCCCCGCCCTATCTCTGTAACCTCCTCCAGCCCCTACACCGCCTCCCGATCTCTGTAACCAGACCATCTTTGCTTCTTTGAAGGACAGTCCTAAAGTTGATTGTGTTTTTTCCAGTCATTTGTTTATGAAACTCTTCCTGTATTCCTGATTTTATTCAAGTGGGATTTGGATTTATCCACAGCATTATTCTGCCCCTCTGTAATGTTACCACAACACTACCATTCCTAATGTCATGAGTGCAAGATGCTTACTTAGATCATTCCCATTATAAATGGCTTTGCAGCGTGACATTTTACATAGGTAAATCCCAGTATCAATAGTTTACGGTATGATGCATTTATATCGTCAAATGCCACAATGTATGTCACTGTGTGTGACACGTTTATGTAAATAATTCCCTCTATAAATGGCTTTATGCAATGAGGCAGTTATAGAGCAGTTTCTGTAATGTCAGTGAAGCGTGACATGTTTACATAGGAATTCCCGTTCTGATGTCCGTGTGGGCAGATCCCTCAATAAGCTGGTTGTCTGATTTCTGTTTTGTCTTTCAGGAGCTGGCGGAGAGGTTTCTCGAAGGGCAGTTTGCCTTGGAGGTGTTTTTGGAGCAGTACAATGAGCAGCGAAAGGTGGTTCACCTCTGCCGGGTCCGGATTGAAAAGCTGCAGGAGATCCTGAGCCAGCCCCGGCAACCCCTGGCCACGGTCCCGCCCGGCCCCCCCGACGTCCTCTCCGAGCCCCAGCCCAGCCCGAACCTGCCCCAGCGGCCCCCGCCGCCCGTCCCCCGGCCCCCGGCCGCGCAGGCCCTGCCCTACAACCCCAACCCGGGTGCGGCCGGCATCACCCGTCAGGTGATGCCCCCTTACCCCCCCGCGGCTGCCCCCCCTCAGTTCTACCCCCGGCCTGGTGAGGCTCAGTGCCCTCCCTACCCCGTGCAGGGGCCGTTTCCAGCAGGGCAGCCCCCTTACCCCCTCTACCCCATGCCCCCTTACGGCTACGGCCCTTCGGGACCTCCCCCTGTGCCGCCCAGGCCTGGGTACAGACCCCCACAACCTACTTACCGTATGCCCCAGCCTTACTGAACAGTCGGAGGACTGTGGCAGTGTGATCCACCAAACTGCTGTTGCTGGTGGATACCTGACTGTATGCGTGTGTAAATATTATACAGACTGTAATATTTATTTTGACTTTGTAGTATCTCTGAGTTACGTAATGCAATTTGTACGGTTGGACACTTTACGCAAGCACAGGGCCGTGTCCCTCTGCCAGTGCGATGTATCGATTGGTCTTCGCCCCGCGACCACTGGAGACCAATCCCTTCACCGCTTTTGTCTGCTGCACCACTGCAGGGATCCGTGCGGCTGGGCTCGAGGTCCAAAGGTCTCGATTTTGATCCAACAGGGTTTGAGCAAGGATTTCTGTACTTCGGGAGCGCCGCGCCGTCGGAGGGTCAGCGCAGAAGGAGCGCCGTGCACGTCACACAAACCATCTTCCAGACCTACAAGCAGAGTCTCCTCCTGTGGATGGATGTGAATATTGTCAGGAAACACTACTGGAAGGAAAGCAGGATGTTCTCCCCCGAGCCTCTTGTCTGTCCCTTTGCCAACTTGTATTGAAGAGAAAGGAAGTGAGATGATTAGCGATTAATTACTTTGCTGTTTGTGGGAGCTTGCTGTGCTGAAATTGGGCACCACCTTGTTCACATGACACTTGAGTGCCGTTTTTGGAAAAAAAGTACTTCATTGGTTTTAAAGCTCTGTGAAGTATCCTTGGATTGATACTGACTGCATTGATGCAAGTCCCTCTCCTTAGCTCTCAGGGCCGAGCATGCTTTGAAAGCAGAGAGATTCAGGGTGCAGACTGAGGAGAGGCGTAGGTGGCATACACACGGGATGGAAGGTAGGGCCTGAGAGACATGATCAGTTTCACGTGTGGAACAGCTTTCTGGAATGCAGCCACAGTTTCTACTGGATCGTCCTACCCTCCCCTCCCATAGCTGTCTGTTCCATCGGAGGAGTCCATTCAGCCCCTCAGGCTTGCTAACTAGGGACCAGGAGGAGATTGTTCTTGCAATCTCTCTCTCTTTCTTACCTCTGACTCACTGCACAGCGAACAGGAGCAGGCCTGCAGTATCGAGGACTGTTGGAGTTGCTACCTTTCGGCCAACACGTTCAGCTAAGACTCTCGCTGCCCTTTGTGGTTTCTGGTCTGTGCAAGGGGTTGCCTTCTCCCAACTGGTCTTTGTTGGCCGTCTTCCTCCTCTTTTATCTTCACTGCCTGAACTCTGCGGTGGCTGGAGCCTTGGTGTTCAGTGAACCTCCTATGCTGGCCAGTCCACTCGGTTCAAAGCCCTATTCTGCCCTGCACGAGGCAGGTCACACGTTCAGACTCTGTCCCCTGCCCGTTTTTGTACCTGGGAGTGATCTCAGTGGGTGTTTCTCCCCGCAGTTGCACAGCTGCCTGGATTCGCTAGAGACCCCAGGCTGAGCTGCTGGGGATAAGGGCGTGCCAGAGCCCGAAATGGGACGTGCCTAGGCCTCACGGCCCCTGGATGTGGTGGGAAGGAGTGAAATACAGCAGGAGGTGATGCAGCCAGCAGAATGGATTGATCTACCATGAGGCTGATACTGAGCTTGCCTTTCCTCGCTTTATAAACACAACATTGCGTGTGGGGTGTTGTGAGAGATGAATGTACTCACTATTTACACAGATAATCGTTCATTGACTTTGTCTTGCAGAATTTCCTGCCGTTCTCTTGCAAAGCCTGTGATCAGCAAATTGATATGAACAATTGCAGGAGTGTACTTAAAATATAATGTAAAAAAAAACATCGCTGCCACAGTTTCTGAATTAAAGTTTTTGCTTGGCTCACTGCTTGTTTGTGTTGTTTGTATCTACACCTGTACTTGTGTCAAAGCTGCTTTGCCATACTTTTTTTTTAATGTGAAAGGGGTGGGATTTGCTTATTACAGTTACCCTGTACACTCAGCACTAATTGCAGGGTAAAGCTGCCTCTGTACCGTTCCCCCATTAAATACTCTCAGAAATTGATCGCCAGTTATAATGTGCCACAGCGAAAAGCCGTAATGACCACCTGAAAAGACAGACACGGGATACGTTCGATAGGTACCCTTTGTCGACCAGTACTTCCTGGGAGCGGAGAAACTACACAGTTCTTCACAGCCTTAAACACATTATCGATGACAATGAGCACCGCCACACCTCCACTTTTCACCTTCAAGCAACTGCTAAACCTTAAACAGGCCATTGATCGCAGCAAACCGCCCAGCCTTTGGGACAACGTCGACCACAACACTGTACAACCCTGTAATGGTAACCTCTGCAAGACATGTCAGATCATCAACATGCACACTACTGTCACACATAGGGGAATACCACCCACCGAGTACATGGCAGATACTCATGTGACTCGGCCAACATAGTCTATCTCAAACGCTGCAGGCAAAGATGCCCTGAGGCATGGTCTATTGGCAAAACCATGCAGACGCAATGATAACGGATGAATGGACACCACACAACAATCGCCAGACAGGGATGCTCCCTCCCAGTGGGGGAACACTTCAGCAGTCAAGGATCTTGGGTAAACGTCCTCCAAGGCGGACTTTGGGATAAGCAACAACGCAGAGTCGCTGAGCAGACGCTGATAGCCAAGTTCGGTCCCCATGAGGACGACCTCAACCGGGATCTTGGGTTCATGTTGCACTACGGGTGACCCCACCATACTACACACACACACATGCACACAAACTCTCCCTCATGTGCATGCACACACATTCTCTCGCTCTCCCTCACCCACCTGTGCCCTGTCTCTCTCACGCACGCTCGCTCTCTCTCTCTTGCGCAGAGATTTTTGCTTCACCTTTACCCCACTGGTGAAGTTCTGAAAGACTGGAAGGTGGTCGATGTTGTTCCGTTGTTTAAGAAAGGTAGCAAATATAAGCCAGGGAACTACAGGCCAGTGAGCCTATCATCAGTGGTAGGCAAGTTATTGGAGAGGATACTGAGGGCCAAGATCAACCAACATTTGGATGAACAAAGTCTGATTAGTGATAGCATAAATTTGTGCACGGGAAGTCATGTCTGACAAATCTTGTGGAGTTTTTTTGAAGAGGTAACTCAAAGGATACATGGGGATAAGGCAGTGGATTTTGTCTATATATACTTCCCTAAGGCCTTTGACGAAGTCCCACATGGCAGGCTAGTCATAAAGGTTAGGTCGCGTGGGATCCAGGAAGAGCTAGGTAAATGGATTCAAAACTGGCTCGATGGGAGGAAGCAGATGGTCGAAGGCTGTTTCTCAGACTGGAAGGCTGTGACGAGTGGTATGCTGTAGGGGTCAGGGCCGGGACCAAATCCTATATTTGTTATTTATACAAATGATCTGGATGTGAATGTACAAGGCGTGATTAGCAAGTTTGTGGATGATACAAAATTAGAAGGTACCGTTGATAGCGAGGAAGGTTATCAAAAATTACAGAGGCATCTGGATCAGATGGGGAAGTGGGCTGAGGATTGGCAAATGTAATTCAATACAGGGAAGTGTGAGGTATTGCACTTTGGAAAGTCAAACCAAAGTAGGACTTATACAGTAAATGGTAAGGTCCTGAGGAGTGTTGTGGAACAGAGGGACCTAGGAGTACAAGTACGTAGATTGTTGGAAGTGGTGTCACAGGGAGACAGGGTGGTGAAGAAGGCACTTAGCATGCTGGCCTTCATCAGTTGAGGCATTGTGTATAGGAGTTGCGACTTATGTTACAGTTATACAAGTCATTGGTGAGACCGCACTTGAAGTCTTATGTACAGTTTTGGTCACCCTGTTATAGGAAAGACATAGTTAAACTGGAAAGTGTGCAAAGAAGATTTACGAGGATGTTGCCAGGACTAATCGGTTTGAGTTATAGGGAGAGGTTGGCCAGGATATTCTTTGGAACACAGGAGATTGAGGGGTGACCTTATTGAGGTGTATAAAATCATGAGGGGCGTAGATAGGGTGAATGCATATCGTCTTTTTCCCAGGGATGGGGAATTGAAAACTAGAATGCATAGGTTTAAGGTGAGAGGGGAAAGATTTAAGAAGGACCTGAGGGGCAACTTCTTTGTGGAGAGAGCGGTGCATATGTGGAACGGGCTGCCAGAGAAAGTGGTCGAAGCAGGTACAATAACAACATTTAAAAAACATTTGGATGCGTTCGTGGATGCGAAGGGTTTAGATGGATATGGAACAAATGCAGGCAATTGGAACTAGCTGAGTGGGCACCGTGGTCAGCATAGACCAGTTTGGCCGAAGGGCATGTTTCCATTTTATACTACTCTATGACTTTACAACACTGTCCTGTTCAAACACTCCCAGGATCGGGACAATATGGGATTAGATACAGAGTAAAATCCCCTCCACTCCTTTAAAACTGAAAAGAAATGGAAAATAAAGTGGTCTCGAAGCTGACCCCATCAGAAAATCCTGGGACAGGTTCAGCATAGGGTTAAATACAGAACAAAGCTCCCTCCACTCTTAGAATTAAAAGTAAACTGAAAGTAAAGTTCACTCAACACCATTCCCAACAAAAACTGCTAGGTCAGGGACAGCAGAGGGTTAGATACAGAGTAAAGGTTCCTCTGCGAGGTCCCAGTAAACAGTCCCAGGGACAAGGACAGCACAGGGTTAGATACAGAGTAAAGCTTCTTCTACACTGTCCCCCATCAAACACTCCCAGGGCCAGCACGGGGTTAGATACAGAGTAAAGTGCCACGACACTGTGCCCATCAAAT